AAGAAGAAGAAGAAGAAGAAGAAGAAGAAGAAGAAGAAGAAGAAGAACAACAACAACAACAACAACAACAACAACTACAACAACAAAAGACAAATGGAAACTGCAAACTCAAGCATTATACAGATGATTCAAAAATGTAATTTCTAGCTGGGCAGTGGTGGCACAAGTCTTTAATACAAGCACTTGGGAGGCAGGCATAGGATCTGTGCGAGTTTGAGTTTGGTCTGCAGAGTAAATTCCAGGACAGCCAGGGACAGAGGAACCTTGTCTGGGGAAAAAAATAAGAAAGAAATTATACATTCTTTCTTGAGCCAAAAGGAATTTGCTGATGAATGACGAGTTTTAGTGATCATTTTAGCTGTGCACCTACTAAATTTAGAGTGAAATGGATTTATGAAGGGTCTGTTTCATTTACTTGTTTTTGGAGACATGTCTTATGTAGCCCAGGCTAACCTGGAAATCCTGATCCTTCTATCTCAGTTATAATAAGGATGAGTCACCACCTGACATTTATTACAGTCTTAAATGAAAGTCCATTTGTTAGCCTGCTTGCTTGCTTTCTCTTTCTTTTAAGTCATTCATTTGCTGATAGGGTTTCACTCTCTATCCCATGCTGACTTGGAGCTTCCAACAATCAAGCCTCCTGCATCACGTGAGCTATGATGGCCAATCAAAGATGGGGAAGGTATGCTTGAGAAAAGCTATTCTCTCCTAAATGCGAAGGGCTCTTGAGAACGAAAATCTCAAAGTCATGATCGAAAAAGGTTTGTGGTACTCAGACGTTCAGCACACAGTTTAGTTAGGTGTTCAGGTTTCTCCTTTTTTCAGGAGACAGACTGTACACTGGGCAAGTTTCCACAACCTTCCCAGGTGTCCTGCAGAGAAAACACAGGTGGTGTGTGCAAATGTTTAGCCTTCACGGCCGTTCTGGAACTTAGCTGGAAGGCTCCAAAGCATGGCTAGGCTGGGATTTGGTCCACCCTCAGACTCTATAAGCCTGCCACACTTCAGACCCTGGGCTAGCAGGGTTTTCCTTCTCTCCCAATGTCGGTCACTCTACCTGGCCCCTCCCGGACTTCCGCCTCCCGCCTCCTCCCGCCTCCTCTTGCCTCCACCCGCCTCCTCCTTCATCCTCCCGCCTGCCCCACTGCAATCTCCTCCCGCCTCCTCTCTCCTGCCCCCTCCCACCTCCTCCCGCCTAGCCCCCTCGCGCCTCCTCCGGCCAGCCTCCCTCCCGCCTCCTCCCTCCTCCCCTGTGGCTCCCACGTGACCCAATGACATCACATCCGCTCGAGCGATTCCGAATCTGGAACCCGCGCGATGAAGAACGCGTTTGTGACAGTCGGGACCACCAGTTTCGACGAGCTGGTCGCCCGTGTAGCTGCCCGCGACAGCGTTGAGGTGAGTCGGGGCCGGGCGGGCGGAGGGCGGCCCCGCCTGCCACTGCGGCTCTGTTGGCCTCTCCCCCGCGCCGCGGGCCGTAGGGCAGCAGGGCAGCGGCTGCTCCTCCGGGACCGCGGCTCCACCGCCCCGCCTCCTTGGCCCCTTGCCTCTCCTCCCTCCCTCCGGGGCCACAGCCTCCCTCCACCCACTACCTCCGTTGTCTCCCCTCCCCCCCCCCCCCCCCCCGCCCTCGACCCCGGTCTCCTCCCGCCCCTCCGTTGCCGCGGTCCGGCCTTCCGTTACTGTGGGGTCCCCACGGTTTCCACGTCTGGCCCCCCGACCCCCGAAGCCCTGTCGGGGCCCCTGGGTTCACGAGCCCGCCCCTCCCCTCCGGCCGCCCACAGGTGGCCCCCAGGCGCTGGGGTCTGCCGCACTTGGCCCCGGGCTCTGCGGGCCCCGCCCCCTAGGTCCACCACGCCTTTCCCCTCAGTGGCTCAGGCGGCGGTTTCTACCCTGAAACCTCCTCCCCCCCGCGGTCCCAGCCCGTAACATTTTTCCCCTAGCGGCTTGGTCCGCGACCCCCCCCCAATCCCGGCCCGTAATGGTTTTCCTCTTAGCAACCCGGTCCGCGACCCTTTTCCCCAACCCCGGCCCATAACGGTCTTCCTCTTAGCAACCCGGTCCGCGACCCCATCCCCATCCCCCCATCCTCGGCCCGTAACGGTTTTCCTCTTAGCAACCCGGTCCGCGACCCCCATCCCCATCCTTGGCCCGTAACCGTTTTCCTCTTAGTGACCCGGTCCGTGACCCCCACCCCCATCCCGGGCCCGTAACGGTCTTCCCGCAGCGGCTCAGCCCACGACCCCCCACCTCCGGTCCTTAATGGTTGTTGCCAGAGCGTCATAGCCCGCGACCCCCGCCGCCTCGAGCCAGACACGGTGGGCTTCCTACCCCACCCCCGTCAGCAGCCGCGAGCCCGCCCTCTCAGGTCCCGCCCTCCCAGGACAGTACCAGCCCCCCCCCCCCCCGCCCAAGACCCCCAGCTGTTCCGGCCAAGAGTGTTTCCCCGAGCGCCCAGGTCAGCAGCCCCCTCCCCTAGGGCGAGCGATGGTTGCCCCGCGCAGCTGCAGCTCCCCGGCTCTTGACACGTCCTTCCTCCCCTCCCCCCCTCTCCCCCCTGGTAACAGGTGGTCTCTGTCCGCGAGCCCACCTGAACTACTTTAGCAGGTCAAGAGGGGCTTGGCTACTGCTTTGAGCGGTCCCGGCTCGGTCGGTGCCTTCCCTTGGTGCCCGCCTATTTTTGGACTCCCTGTTCCAGGTATGTTGGTTGATTTGTGCTCTCCGAGCTTGGCAGGTCCTGAGGTTCGAGGCAGTGCTTTGGGCAGAGGGGTTTGGTTTGGAAAACTGACTACTACTCCGCTGCAGGTGGAGCTCAGAGAGCACCTGCTTTGGAGCAGCAGTTTGGAGGTGGGGTAACTGCTGGTCTCAAACGCGTTTTCTTATTTCCTGTTTTAGATTCTCCAGAGTCTTGGTTACAACCGGCTTGTCCTTCAAATTGGTAGAGGCACAGTGGTCCCTGAACCATTCAGTACTGAGTCATTCACTCTGGATGTTTACAGGTATAAGGATTCTTTGCAAGAAGACCTTCAGCAAGCAGATCTTGTCATCAGCCACGCAGGTAAAGGGTCTGAGATCTTGGGGTTCTGTCTTTGATAAGAAACCATAGACACTTAATTCACAAGGGCTAGAGATCTAATTCAGTTTTTTTTTGGTACATGCCTAGCATTTGAAAAGCCCAAGGGCCAATCTTTAAGACCACAATAAAGGAAGCCAAGTTCCATGGCTCACACCTGTAATTACAGCACTTAGAAGGGAAGGCCAGCCAACCTAATTCCCTGGCTCAAAAATCTTTAAGTTAGATACACTGTATAATTTTCCTCACAGCCCTGTTTTAATGTAATTATTTGGGAACTTTAGTAGAGAGAAAGATATTTCCTGGTAGGGAGCTATGAATTTATTCTGGTTCAGTTTTATAATAGGAAGCTCTATAAACGGTGGAGGGGAAAGATAATGTGTGCAATGATCATAATAGATTGTGAATTTGAAGTTCGTATTTGGGCTTATATCCGAAGACCATGAAGCCTTTTCAGCTGTAAGATTGGGATTGTAGAAATTGACATTTAAAGATTGTCTTGTCTTTTTATGTCAGTGACTGCTGCTGCTCCCCCTTCTAGGGAACTCCCAATGTAAACTGAGCTGCCTATGGCTATATCTGAGCAGGGGGTCTAGGTCCTCTCCATGCATGGTTCTTGGTTGGTGCATCAGTGGCTGCAGGCTCCCCTTGGCCCAGGGTATTGGTCTCTTGTAGAGCTCCTGTCCCCTTCTGGTTCTTCTACCCACAATACCCTCCTGCACTCTGATCACCCCCCCCCTGGCCTGGAGGCCTTACTAGGCCACAGAGAAAAAGAATCCAGACAGTCCTGATGAGATCTGATAGGCTGGGGTCAGATAGAAGGGAAGGAGGACCTCCCCTCTCAGTGGACTAGGGGAGGGGCATAAGGGGGAAAGAGGGAAGGAGGGGGGGCTGGGAGGAGATGGGGGAGGGGGCTATAGCCAGGATACAAAGTGAATAAATTTGCAATAAATAATAATAAAAATAATAAAGAAAAAATAAATTGGAAAAAAAAAGATTGTCTATTTAATATTTCTTTTGAACGTGTGTGAAATTAATATGGTAAAAATTTTCTTTATGTAGCCTATAGTAATAAAATTAGAATTTTTTGTTTATAAATTTTATATTCAGAGGCATAAGCTTATATACTTAGGAAGTATCTTATGTTTTAAGTATGTATATTACACTTACACTTTTAGTAGTTTGTAGCTTTCAGAGAATCAGCCTGATGGAGTTCCTGAGATATACATTTTAATTATGTATATTTGCACAGTCACAGCTGTCTTGGGAATGGCACTTCAGGGGTAAACACATAAGCACTGTTTTCCTGTATTAGTACCTGTCCCTATTAGAGGCTAGCCTTTAAAATTTTCAAAAAAAAAATAGTGTGTTTATTTGTTCTCTCCCTCCTTCCTTTCCCTCTCTCTACCCCACCCTCGTTTGTGTGTTTGTGTGTGTACATGTGTGCATGTGTTTGTGTCTTTTTGTTTGTTTCTTTAGGACAGGGTTTTTCTCTGTAACCTTGGCTGTCCTGGACTTGATTTGTAGGCCAGGTTGACCTGGAACTCAGAGATCTGCCTGCCTCTGCCTCTCGGGAGTGCTGGGATTACAGGTGTTGGTCACCCTGCCCGGCAAGATTTTTTCTTCTTTTTTCTGTGTTTTTTTTTGTTTTGTTTTGTTTTTTTTTTTTTGTTTTTTGGTTTTTTTTTTTTTTTTTTTTTTTATGAGACAGGGTTTCTCTGTGTAGTCTTGGCTGCCCTGGACTAGCTTTGTAGACCAGGCTGGCCACCAACTCATAGGAATCTGTCTGCCTCTGCCTCCTTAGTGCTAGAATTAAAATCGTGTGCTGCCACACCACTAAGATATATTTGTTAATTATGTATATTTTTATACTCTGGAGCTGGAGCTGTAGGCACTTGTAGTCAAACTTAGTTACTCTGCAAGAGAGTAGTACATGCTCTTGAATTCAGAGCCATCTTTAAGCCTTCCACATTATTTTTTGAACCACAGTCTCCCTGAACCTGGAGTTAGGCCATTTAGCTTACTTGAAATGCTAATGAGCACCAGGGATTTGCCTGTCTCCTTCTTCCCCGAATTGGTGTTACAGATTGAACTCAGCTTTTAACTAAACCAGAGTTTAACCTCTGGTCTTAATGCTTGCAGGCCAGAAGTCTGCCTTTTCTGTTTGTGTTTGAATAGGAGTGAAGTATAGTTCCTTAGTATCAACTAGGGATTTGGTAATCTCAGGACTCTGGAGGTTGAAACAGGATGGTGAGGTCAAGGTCAGCTTGGGCTATGTAGCAACTTTTAGGTAAGATTGGGCTGCAGAGTGAGACCATCTCTCCCCCTCTCCCCAGTCGGTTTTGTCACTTTTGATACTGATACAGAGTCTGCCTGTGTAACCCATGATCCTCCCGCTTCAGTCTCCCACATCCTATGATTTGGGGCATGTGCCATTAAACCTGACCTACATTTGCCAATTTGTTTTACATGGTTTTATGTACTAAAATTTTCAAGTTTAGAATTAAAACTATAATGATAGAGTATCATAACGTTAAAAAAATTGAATCAATAGCTTTTATTTTTGTAGGTGCAGGAAGCTGTTTGGAGAGTCTTGAAAAAGGCAAGCCACTTGTGGTAGTTGTAAATGAAAAATTAATGAACAATCATCAGTTTGAATTGGCAAAGCAGTTGCACAAAGAAGGACATCTCTTCTACTGTACCTGCAGGTATATTACAGACTGATCAATTGATCTCGTCCCTTAAATTTCTCCCCTGCAGTTATTATCCACTTACCTGACTTTGATTTTTACCTTTTTTCTATTCATCAACTATACTTTGATTTTTCTCTACTGTAACTGTTCATTTGTCTGTAGCTTTGACTCTGTTCTGTCTTTTCCCGAGTTCATTGCTAACTGTTAATATATGAGTTTCAATGTATGAATATGCATACAAGAGTGCAGGTTTCCAAGTATCTTAGTTTTGTAGTTTACTACTCAGGTTTTTAGTGTTCAAAGAAGGTGTATGCTTATATTTATTAAGGAAAAATTAATTGAGTTATTTTGACAATTAGTTGTCAGTTTGATATTTATCCACTGGAAGCCATAAATTAATTATATTCATGTACATGTTCTCTTCTACCTAATATAAAAATGGGTACTGTCTTAAGTGCTTGGATTATAGTCAAAGCATTGCATATATATTATATTGCTAGAATTTCACATGGTGAATTATGATACAAATAAAGCGACAGCCCAATGTCATTGTTAGGATAAGGAAGAATTAGGTACACTGTAGGAGAGGCTTGATAAAGGACCTAATGTTTGAGATGAGTCCTGAATTAGAAGGAAGAACCACTTATATGAAGTTTAGAGGAAACAAAATTTGAGATTATGAAAGCCTTAACTTAGTAATGAACTTGGAGTTTGTAATGCTTGAGGAACAGAGAAGGTTCATATGGTAGGAGCATAGTGACCAGGGAAGAGTGAGTATGAAGCTGGGAGGGCATAGCTCATATAAGACTTCTAATTTTATTTTATGTTTAATGAGAAGCCACTGAAGCACTTTAAGTAAAGGGATATTTGTTAAGGATTATCGTTTTCTTAGAAGTGGATTAGTATTCAATAGGAACTGATCAGCAGCGCAATAGAAGCTTGAAGAAATATGCTGTTTTTCTGTTAGTTCTTCTTTGGGACACTAGAAGCTTGCCAAAGGGCCAGGTCAGTAATTCCCAGTTGTTTGATTTTAAAAATTTACTAATTTAGTATTTTTAAAAAGTAAATAACCTCATAGAGAAATTAATTGTATATCTATATCTGTCTCCTATATTAAAGTTAGAATATTCTAAGTGTTTCTTTGGAGTTTTTTTCTGTTTCGTACATATGTTTGGTATATACTTGTGCATTCATTAAAGATGGAGCACTTGTTATATGCCATGCTTTTTTAGACATTTGGTATATACATACATGTCAGTAAACAAAGCTTGATATTCTCAGTGGGAGAAGACAGACTGAGTCAATGACTATTCCAGCAGTAAAATTAATGGTGAGCTCATCTTTATAATGATGGAGGAGAGGGAATGTAGTCTTCGTACAGAAGAAAAGCTAGGAATGGATCATAATTGGAGTATCTGTCTTTAATTGATATTGTTAAAAGTTCATAGCACCACTTTATAACAGAAACACATCTTAACTACATATACAAATTAATATTTCTACGAGTTACTGAAAAATATTTTCATTCAATATGTGTCAACTTTTATTTATTTATTTTTTAGAGATGGTCTCTATGTAGCCCAGGCTAACTTTATTCTCCCGATTCTTACCCTTCAACCTCTACATTTTTGAGAGTAGAGATAGGTATGAATGACTATGCCCAGCTAGTTAGCTCTGACATTTTTTTTTATTGTTCTTAGTATATTATTAAAGAGAAAATATTGGTTCTTTTTAAAACATCCTTACTTTTTTTCCTACAGGATAAAATAACTTGTGTGTCTCCTTTTTGAAAACAAACAAACAAAAAACATTGCTTATATTTTAGTGTAGATAAGTCACTTTCCCCAAACCTATGTTGGTCGGTGCTTTGTCTCTTCTAATTTAATTGACTTGATTAATTTTCTGAAGTAACAGTTACATGTTTAGAACCGTATTTCAAATATGCATGGGTGACCACATACTGATTAGTTAGTGAAGAATTCATGATAGTTTTCAGTAAAAAGTTTTCTCATGGGGCTGGAGACATGGCTCAGCTGTTAAGTGCTCTACCTGTTCTTCCAAAGGACCTTTGTTCAGTTCCCTGCACTCACATGGCAGTTCACAACTGTGTAATTACAACTCTAGGGAATCTAACACCCTCACATACATAAACATGCAGGTATAACACCAGTGTACATAAATAAAAACAAAATAAAATTTAAAGGTTTTTTTTTTCACAATCTGCACGAATGATGTACTGTAGTTATCCTAGCTGTTTTCTCTGAGACTTACTGCTTTTGTTTTTTAATTTATTCTGTTTTCATAAATTTTGTTTTATTTGTGTGGTCCCAGAAAGTATTACAAAGCAGTATAAACACATTTTCCTTGAATTTGTGTTTCTGAAACACTTCATTTAACTCAGATAAAAATGTCTATTGAAGCCAGGCGCAGTGGCGCACACCTGTAATCCCAGCACTTGAGGAGGCAGAGGCAGGCGGATCTCTGTGAGTTGGAAGCCAGCCTGGTCTACAGAGTGAGTCCAGGACAGCCAGGGCTATACAGAGAAACCCTGTCTCAAAGAAGCAAACCAAAACAAACAATTTAAGAGATGGGTGTAGCCGTGCATGTGTGTAATCCTAGCACCCTGGGAGGCAGAGTCAGGTGGATCTCTGTGAGTTCGAGGCAAGCCTGGTCTACAAAGCGAGTCTAGGACAGCCAAGACTACACAGAGAAATCCTGTCTTGAGAAAAAAAAAGTCTGTTCAGTTTATCTTTATGTTACTCTTTGTATTGGAAAAAACAGTATTGGTATGTATTGTTCCCATAATAAAAATATATAAAACTTACAGTTCTTTCATCAAATGGGCAACAGGCAGATAAGTTACAGAATTTCTCTCATATTACCTGATATTTTTCTTCTTTTGTTTTAGCACGCTTCCTGGGCTGTTACAGTCAATGGATTTATCAACACTGAAATGTTATCCTCCTGGCCAGCCAGAAAAATTTTCTGCATTTTTGGATAAAGTTGTTGGATTACAAAAATAAACTCTCAACACTTTAAAATACCCATAAATCCAGTTCATGGAATATGATTAAGTAAAAAGAAATTTATAATATGTATTTGTAGAACAATATAAATTATTATATTTACTACAAAAACATTATTATAAGGAATTTTGTGGCATAAATAATGCAGTGGGGTCCCAATCCTAATTTTAGTAAATTTATGAGGCTGCCCTAACTTTGAATATGTAGTGAGTCCTTAACTTTGAAAACATAGCCTTCACATTTTTGTCCTAAAATCTAAAATGGATATTTTATTGTTTAAAAAGAAAAACATAAAAGCAGCAGGCCAGGCAATGGTGGTACATACCTGTAATCTCAGCACTTGGGAGGCAGAGAGGCTGGTGTAGCTCAGTGAGTTTGAAGCAAGCCTGGTCTATATAGTTTACGACAGCCAGGGCTACACACAGACTTCCTGTCTCCCAAACCCAAAACAAAAACACAAAACCAAAAATATTCAAAAAAGTTAATAAGAATCATAGATGTTCTTTTGAATAATAATAAAAAAGAAATGCTAACAATGTAACCTTTTGGTGAGAAAATCATCTGTAGGTTTATAAACTTAGACGGCTTTTTTGCGTTAAGCATAAAAAATGTGATTACTTTGTGGAAACTAATAGTTAATCTGAAAAAAATTAAAGTAATTCATCTACTGTACATGGAGTAACCACTTTTATCTTCAATAATAAAGTAGATATGTTCACCTTTGAACTTTTCTGATCCTTCAAGTGCTGGGATTACAGGCACATCATTCCTGGTAGTATTTGTTCCTCTAAAACAGAGAAGGGCTGTGGAGATGGCTCAGTGGGTTTGCATTTTCAGAATGAACATATTAGGCATGGTAATGTTTATTTAGAATCCCTGTTCCTATGATGAGATGGTAGATGTAGAGAGAATTTCTGGAAAACACTGGGCTAGGCAGCGTGGTGGTCATAACATTGAATGGCAAAAAGAGACCCTGTATCAAACAAGGTGAAAAGTAAGGGTTGAGCCTGGGGTTTTCATCTATCTCTACCAGCTCATCATGGTATTCATGCCTACATTTACACAAAGACATACACATGTGTAAGTAGAATGTGATCATCTTATTAATGCCCTAAGTCCAAAAATACAACAGTATGACTTGGCTGTTAATTTTTTTTCACTTTTAACTTTGTGAATCCTACTCCCTCTGGCCTTTGGGGACACCAGGCATGTGTATGGTCCACAGACATACAGAAAAAAACACTCATCTATACATAAAATTTATACCCTCCATAGTGATGAAACGTGTAACAGTTTGACTATTATACTTTTGCTAATGTGTGATCTGATGTGTACAATTACTTAAATACATGTTTTTTTTAAGTGACAATGCATTACGAAAGTTATGAGTGTGGTCTTAGAACTCTTTTAGGTTGTTTAGAGAGAAGGTTTCTCTTTGTAGCCTTGACTGTCTTGGAACTTGGCTTTGTAGACCAGATTGCCATCAAACGAAGAGATCTGCCTGCATCTTCCTCCCAAGTGCTAGGATTAAAGGGGTGTGTCACCATGGCCCAGGGGGGGGTGTGTGTCTCAGAACTTTTAAGATATTTTTAAGCATAATAGTTCTTTGATAGTAAGTTTAGATACAGTTTATTGATAAAGATAGACACTTCAGAGCTGAGCATGATGGTGAATAGCTGTAATCCCAGCATTTAGGAGAAGTCAGCTGGCCTATAATAGCAAGTTTCAGGTTATCCTGAGTTACCCAGTAAGAAAAAAATCAGTCAATAGGTATGATAGAGACTGCAGGTGTACCTTGTTCCAAACATTTTACTTGGGCCGTATTCACATATTCTAGATTTATTTTCCTGGTTGTCATTTTTTGCGCTAATGTTAAAGTTTTACTTGTGTTAAAAGTAGGTTCCTAAAAAATACTCTGTACTCAAAGGAAGCCATTTTGGGCTACAATTTTGGTGAGAATAACATAAGTGTGAGTAATCCACATCTCCATAGTTGAGAGTTAATAGCAGTCATACCTTTTTTGTATATAGTTATCAACTTTTATGTATGTGCCTGTTCTATGCCTGAAGTCAGAGGATAAACTCAGGGTTTATCCTTAAATACCATCCACCTCTAGGATGGTCTCTCACTGGCTAGGAGTTCATTAACTAGGCTACTGTGGCTGGCTAGTGAACCCCAAGTGATCCCTTATTTCCATTCCTCAATTTTGAGTAGTTTTTCTTACGTTAACATAATTATTGTAAACTTTAAGTTGTTTTTTTTTTCAGTTTCCCCACTTAGTTAAATGGGGATTTTTAAATATGTATATATTTATATACATAATATTAAGTTTTGATGTTTTTCAGCAGTAGTTTCACACCTGGATTTTCCTTGGTGAATGAACTCAAACTTGTGATTTGAGATTGGAAGTCTATAAAAATTCTCTGAGCAGGATCAATCATAGAGGGCTGTCTTAATTGACTTAATTCACTTTAAGACAATTATATAGACTTAGAGATGGAAGAGAGTACACATCCATTTTGAGAGTAATATGGATGTATAAACAGGCTAAAAATGTTTGTAACTTTTTTCTGTTTTTTGAAATTGTTATTTTTTAATATTAATTATAGTTTATTCACTTTGTATCCCAGCTGTAGCCCCCTCCTTCATTTCCTTCCAACCCCACACTCTCTTCTTCTTCTCCTCCCATGCCCTTTCCCAAATCCACTGTTAGGGGAGGCCGTACTCCCCTTCTATCTGACCCTAGCCTATCAGGTCTCATCAGGACTGGCTACATTGTCTTCCTCTTTTTAAAAAAGATTTATTACTTACACAGTATTCTGCATGCGTGCCAGAAGAGGGCACCAGATATCATTGTAGATGGTTGTGAGCCACCATGTGTTTGCTGGGAATTGAACTCAGGAGTACCCTTAACCTCAGAGCCGTTTCTCCAGCCCATAACTGCTTCTATTAAAAAAAAAATCTCATTAGAAATATTTCTGGCCAGTTGCGGTGGTGCATGCCTGCAATCCCAGCAGAGGCAGGTGGATCTTTCTGAGTTCAAGGCCAGCCTAGTCTACAGAGAGAGTCTAGGACAGAGAATGCTACATAGAGAAACCATGTCTTGAAAAAAACAAAAAAACCCTCCAAATACAGCTTAGTAAAGTTTAGTTTAAAGTCACAGGGCAAGAGAAATAGTGTTTAATATTTATTTAATTAGTGGTATTTATATTTTTTAGGGGTAAGGACACACACACACAAAAAAAGCTGGACATGGTGGCACACACCTGTTATCCCAGCTTTCAGGAAGGCAGATGCAGGTAGAGTGCCATGAGTTCAAAGTCAGCTTGGTCTTCAAAGGGAGTCTAGGATAGCAAAGGCTCCATAATGAAACCCTGTCTCAAAAAACAACAACAACAAAAAAGAAAATATTGACTGCTGGGGAAAATTGACTGGACAGATTCAGAGGTGACATGAGTAATTTTAGGAAATGTATAGTGTTTGAGTATATGAGAGGTAATACTATGAGAAGACCTTGGGAATTAGGTACTTTAGATTTGATGCTTATAATTGGGAGAGAATGAGCTGGAATGGTTATCAAGTATTGCAAGTCTAAGCAGTAAACTTGTTACAAGATTCTGGGACATAACAAAAGTAGATCTGGTTACTTAAGTGTTAAATGGCACAAAGGACAATATAAAAAGTTAAGACTGAAATTTGCATTTGGAAAAAAATTGGAATGGTAATGCTGAAAACTATGTTGTGTCCAATTCCGTGCTGTACAAAATGACTTTTTCTGGGAAGAATAGGGAAGGGAGAACAGCAGTTTTGGTTAATGTTTACCAAGTGTTGATATATTGGTGCTTATTCAGTGTACTTTACATATGAATTTATTTAACCTCTGCAGTCATCTTAGGAAATAGTTTTATTTTGTCCCATTTGGTAGATGAAGAAGTGGGTCTTTTATTTAAAGGTTCAGGCAAAGGGCAATAATCTGGGAGTGGTAATAGGTGCACTAAACTTTTAGTGTATGTCCATCTTTTATTGGTATGACAAGACAATGTTTGAAGTTAGGTTACTCTCCCTAGAATTACACATTTATGTTAGCCATAGATACAGGGCATGTTTGGGTTTTTACAGTGCTAATCTTGAAGTATACTGTTATCACAGAATCTATGTGATGAAATTCTCCCAATTGCTTTACCTGATTACAAATAAGTTATAGACTGTTGTTTGCACCAAATATTTGTGCTTTGAAGTTATCTCCTGATACTCTTTTCTTCACATGTTTTTCTTGGTATTTTCATTATTCCCAAGTCCTTAACTACTGTATATCTTTTGACAGTTCACCAAGCATTTCTCAGGAGCCTTTAGTATTACTAACTAGTGTTGTGAATATCAGAGATTATTCTGTATTTATTAAAATTTGGGGTTTGTCTTAAAATAACCTTTTAAAGAAGACTTAGTAATAACTTGTAGAACACATTGTTTTAGAATGGTGATTATTAAAGTGAGCTCTGTGGACTCGTTGCAAATAATAAATACACATAGATCTACTAAATCAGAACCTAGTTAAGAGATACTCTTAAAAAGACATGTATTTGAGAACTACTTTTCTAGAGGTGTTCAACCTTTTTTTGTTGTAGAAAAAAGGTTGTTGGAGTTTCAAATGCAATATAGTTGAAGGCTAGTATACATTTATATCTGAAAATTGCTTTCTATTACATGCAAATGAAGTCTAACATTGGCCCATAGGTCCTTTAAAAAATCCTATTTTACTAATTAATTCCCCCCCCACCCCAAGACAGGGTTTGTCTGTGTAGCCTTAGCTGTACTGGACTTGCTTTGTAGACCAGGCTGACCTTGAACTCACAGTGATCCTCCTGCCTCTGCCTCCCTGAAAAGGCTTGTACCACCTCTCTGCCAGGTTCCATTTTACTATTTCTGAGACTTATCTCTTGTGTTTATATGTAATTTTTATATCAGTTATGCAAACATCAAAAGTTTCAGTTCTAGTATTTTCTGTGTTTTATAAATAGTGTAGTCAATTTCTAAGAACTTGAATACCATCTATAGGCTTACATGGAGAAACTGTAAAAATTAATACTTTTAATTACACATTATAATATATACATTTATAGAGAGTATATTGTCATATTTACCTGCATGCAGTTTGGGATGATTAAATCCAGCTAAATTAATCTTTCTTTTACCTGTTATTTCTGTGGTGAAATATGTGAAATGTATGGTGATAATTTGCAATACATATTATTGACTGTGCTCATACTGATGTTTTCTGAATTTCAAACATGCCTTGTACCTGTCTAAAATTTTGTACCAGTTTAATCAACTTTCTATTTCCTATAAACTATCCAGGGTACAAGCCCTGCTAACTCTTATTTACTTCTGTGATTTCAACTTTTTAGATTACAGATATGTCATATACAGTATTGGACTCTCTGTGCCTACTCTTTTTCACTCACATTAATACGCAAGATTTGAAGATTTTTGTTCAAATTACCAGAACTGATGTGATTTCTACTTTTAAAAGACTGAATTATATTTCACTCTGTTACACTGTACTTTCTTATCTATTCATATACTGGTCATCATTTATATTGTGTTTCTATATCTCTGTGTGTGTATCACGCCTGCAAGGCAGGCATTGTACTGCCTGTTTTATATCCAACCCTAGATTTTGTTTGGTAAGTAACATTCATTGCTTACATATTATTTACCTTTACATTATATCTTATTTTCTTATGTGTCCTTTCAATTTGTTTGATAGGAGACATTGAACTACTTACATTCTATTCACATTTACATTACATTTTATTTCAAGTGTTTTGTTCTCCATGATTTCATCTCATTAGATTATTGGTATCTAGAAATTTATTTTCGGTTATCTGTTTTTTTGTTGGCATAGTAATTTTTGCCCGAGTTTCTATCTCTATCTTTGTCTCTTTGTCTGACAGGGTCTCATGTATCCTAGGCTGACCTTTAACTTGATTCGTCCCTGAAGATGACCTTGAACTTCTTGTTTTTATCACTTCTGTTCAAGTGTTGGACATAAAAGGCATGTGCCACCACCATGCTCAGTTTATGTGGTATTAGAAACTGAACCCAGGGATTCATTCATGCTATGAGCACCGTACTGATTGAGGTATATCCCCAGCTCTTCATTGTTGTTTTTTTTTTTTTTAATTTTTTTTTTCTGTAAAGAAAAACATGGGTATTTAAATTTGTGACTTTGAGGGATGGATATGAGGCCTGTTTTAACATAAAAGTTTTAGAATAATTTCTTTAGTTTTTAACTTGACTTCAGAAACTTTATCTTTTATTTTATTATTTTATTTACTTTTTCAAGAGAGGGTTTCTCTGGGTACCACTGACTGTCCTGAACTCCCTTTGTAGAGCAGGCTGGCCCTAGTGCTAGGTCTCCCTAGTGCTGGGATAAAAGCAGTGTGCTGCCACCACCACCACCTGGTTCCAGAAGCCTTCTGATGAATAGTGCTAGTGATCTTTTCTCAGTGTTCTGCCTAATTACTTCTTAGTCTCAACTTTACTGTTGGTAACTGGTTATCTTGTGCTAGAATTTTTATTATGTCATCATCATTTTTCATCTCTTTTTGGGCATATTTTAATAGATGTGGCCTCTCTATTGAGATCAATATTAAATTTTATTTTTTCTGCTTTTTCTAAATTTCAAAATGATTTAATTAGCATATTAAGAAATTGAGATAGCGTTCCATTGTATTCCGTGCTGTCCTTGAACTCTTTATCTATGTTCTTTTATCTTGGATTCCTAAATGCTGGGTTAGAGGTGGGAGCTACCTTGCACAGTTTGGCATTGTTTTCTTACACAGTATTTTAATTTCTGACAGATGCATACCGTTTCCACTATCTCAGCCAAGAAACAATTTAATTATCATCATGCATTCCTTCTAGCTATCCCTTTGTAGTTAACATTTCCTTGCAATATTTTTGTTTGTTTGTTTTTCGAGACAGGATTTCTCTTTGTAGCCTTGGCTATATACCAGGCTGATCATGTCACAGAGACTCACCTGCCTCTGCCTCCCAAGTGCTGGAATTAAAGGCTTGAGCCACTACCCGCCCTTCTCACTGCAATTCTTAATCTCTGTTAACAATTTACCTAAGTTAAAATTTGTCTGTTCCATATTTGTCTTTAAAATTATTTCTTTGAGGAGTGGTTGTTTTAGAAACAGGGTCCTACTATGTAGCTCCTGGCTGTCCTGGTACTCACTCTGTAGACCAGGCTGGCCCAGAACTCAGATCTGTCTTAGTGCTGGGATAAAAGATGTATGCCTGGCTCATATTTGTCAAGTAAATGTGGTCATACAGTAGATAATAGTTGAATATTTATTCTTTGACTTAACATGAGGCTTCTGAGGTTTATTGATGTTCTATATTTATCAACATTTTACTTTTTGTATTGCTGGCCATTCCTGTCTGGGTGTATCAGTTCATGAATATATGCTGAGATTATTTCTAATTTTGAGGGAACGTGCCTATGGATAAAGCTACTGTCAACATTCATGAGTACATTTATGTGTGGACATTTCTCCCAAGTCAACACCTAGAAGTGGGATTACTAGGTCATATAGTAATTTTTGTGTTTAACAATATAGGAAGCTGTTTAACTAGGTGACAGTGATATTTTATGTTTGTGCTAGTAATATATTATAGTTTTCCATTTTTCTCTGCACTTGGTATTCCTGGTTTAAGTATATGTTTTTAAAAACTTAGTCATATTCTAAAATGTATTTAGCAGCTTTCACTAAAAATAGAAAAAAAATGGGCAAGAGGTTTATCATAGTGGTAGAACATATGTCTACCATGCTTAAGGCCCTTGGTTTGATGTTGGGTTGGGGTGAACTACAAAAAACAAAACAAAACAAAACAAAACAAAATGGCTGAAAAACACATTAAAAGATTCTTAATACCATGGGACCCTGGGGAACTGCAAATCAACCCACAATGAAATTCTACATCCTAACTCTTAGAATTGCTTCAATATAAAGTAGAACATAATTTGACTCTCCCTTCAATAACAGCATTACCATATGATCCAGCACCAACAGAACTAAATATATATGTCTTTCCAAAAACTTACATATAAATGTTTGTAGTAGGATTCTTAATAGTATAAAGTGGAAGCAACCAAATTTCTATTAACTGGCAAAACAGACAAGTTGTGGCTTGAAATGGATTGAAATACCAATGTATGTGACAATGCAGTTGGATGTTGATTGAAAAACTTCCAGTCACACAGGACTATATAATGTAGGCTTACATTTATTTGAAACGTCCAGAATAGGTAAATCTACTGGGATTGGTGAGCTAGAATAGAGGTGGATATCCATAAAATAGAGGATTTCATTTTCAAGTGATCAAAGTGTCAAATTATGATGGATGCATAACCGAATATATGAAAAATCATTCTAATTCCCTTAAAGTGGATGTTAGAAATTAACCAGTTTTTGTAGAGTATTATTTGGTAGCACTTGGGAGGCACAGGCAGGCAGATCTCTGAGTTCGAGGCCAGACTGGTCCCCAAAATGAGTTCCAAGAAAGTGAGAGCTACACACAGAAACCCTGTCTCAAAAAACCAAAGTATAATTAGGTAACTTTTAGTGAAACATCATTCTAAAGATATTGTGTTTGTTTCTTTTCAATGCCAGTTTCTACTACAGCGCCAGGTAACTATCTGATTTAGAAATGTACATTTCCCACTTTGGCATATTTATATTTCATATAAACAGAATTCTGTATTTGGAATCACTGTTTGCCTCAGACATTTTTAGGGCTAGATTCTCCACACTCCGTTCACACTTGTTTATAACCATTCTTGTAGGTGTGTAATTGTCTCATTGTGATTTTAATTTGCATTTTTCTAATGCTAATCGTACTGAACATCTAATTACTTATTATGGCAGAAACTATAGCCCAGGCTGGCCTCAAACTCTGTTGAGAATAACTTGAACATCCTGATCGTCTTAAAGCCAGGGCTGGCACGTTACACAGAAGGCTAGCATTCTGCCAAATTAAATACTGTCAACTTAAAATTGATAGCCCCCCTCCATTTACCATTAGAAAAACAGCCTAAAATATTTTTCCCATTTTAAAATTGCAGTGTTAATGCTGACTTTATTTTTGTAGTAGAGATAGGCCTCAAACTCATTGTGTACTCTCAGGTGGTGTTGAACTTCTGTAATTTTGCCTCTACCACCCAAGAGCTGAGATTACTGGCTTATGCTACCATGCCAATTTACGTGGTGCTGAGTACTGAACTCAGGTTCTCTAGCAAGCTAGGCAAGCACTATATCAACTGAGCTACATCCAGTCTACTTTTAATAGTTTTAAAATAATTTTTATTTTTTTATATTAATCAGAGGTTATTTACTTCGTGTATTCCAGCTGTTGGCCCTTCCCTCATTCCCTCCCAATCCAACCCTCCCTCATCTCTTCTCTGCCCTTTCCAAGTCCACTGATAGGGGAGGTGGTCCTCCCTTTCCATCTCACCCTAGCTTATCAGGTATCTTGAGGACTGATGATCAATCCTCACTTAGAATGACAAATGGGATGGACATTGGAAGTAGGTGAAATAGTTTTTAATAAATATTTTCAGTACAGTTTTTTGTTAGATATGTGATACACATGTATTTTTACTCTAATTTGTGACTTGTATTGTCACCCAGCTAACAATTTCATTTGCAGAGCAAAATTTATTTTATGAAAGTCTAATTTGCATGCTTTTTAACAACTTGGCCTAACCCAAGGTCTTGAATTATAGAAACATTTCTAAGAACTTTTAACTTGATTTCTAAATGTTATAGTTCAGAAGCTAAAATATACAATACAAAGGGCACAGGGATAGTTCTTTGCAGGTTTTCTCTTGCTGCCTTAACCACTTCCTCCTTGGGAGGCAGTTGGTACAAAGGTAAATACAGAAGCTTTTATTCAGCATTATGAACTTCAGGTCTAGGGTTAATTTTTGCATTATGAATGGATATTTCTTTCACTATTTGGTATGAATACTTTATTGTGTCTATTGTATTACCTTTGTTCCTTTGTCAAAAATAAATTGTTCTTTCATATCTGTCGTTTGTTTTCCAAATATGTACTTTTCTTTCTCTTCTGTTTTTTTTTTTTTTCCCCATCTTTGTTTCTAGGTTTCTCTTATATTCTGATTGTCTTCTTGGACCTATCCCTGCCAATTCTTTTCTTAAGTGGAAGTATATGAATAATATTTTTTGAAGTTTTATATCCATGCTTAAAGTTTGTTAGATGTAGAGAATTTGTTTTTTGTCTTTATTTGTAGAATATACCAAAATGAATCAACTTTTTAATTGTAACCCTTAATTAGTCATTCTTAGTTAATTAGTGACCACCAAACAGTATGGTTCAGAACTTTTAAAAAAGTTATCACTGCTGTATTGTTTCTTTAGAAAAGAAACAAGGTAATGTGAAATTCGCATGGTAAGGAAAGTCAAGCTTTTATTCCTCATCTACCAGAATTTTATTTCATTCATAAGTTACAAGTGATGATACATGTTTTGCCTTTAGACAGCAGTCATACAAGAACAACAATGTTGTTAGCTGCTTTATATTGCAACATCTCTGAAGTCAAACATTTTCTTTAGAGTATGTTTTTATTTTTTGTAGTCAAACCCTTGTAGATAAGACTTTACATATTTAATTTAGTGTGTTACCACTGTACAGATGGAAAAATACAAGTTGAACATCGCTAGACACAGGAAAAGCAAGCTTTTGACTTATTTCTTCATTTATTTGTGGTGCTAGTGTTGAATCTATTGTACCGGCTTTATCACTGAGCTGTATGTCTCTAAACTTCAACACCTTGAGGAAAAAGTGTATTTTGGCATTTAAATAAAAATAACATACCTGGTGCCAGAATGAAATAATAGAAATGGTGCCTTCCCCCAAGATTCAGAGCACCTTTTTTTCCTGGCAAAGTACCCTAATAACATGTTACAACATAACATGTCTAGCATGTCAGTTATGTCCCATCGAATCTTAAGTGTATATTTTTGAAAGTTTGTTTAAGATATTTCATGCTACTTTAATTATTTCCATGTTTTTGAGATTTATTTCTGATTTATATACATATATGCTTTTGTTGGTATATGCACTGTGCATGCGGGTGCAGATGCTCATAGATATCAGAGAAATTACAGGTGGTTGTGATTCCCTTGATATTGGTACTGGGAACAGAACTCTAATCCTTTGCAACATGTGCTATTAACTGCTGAGCCATCTCTAGCTCTCATTGTTTTTACTTAAATATGTCTCCCTGTTTCTAGTAGTACTAGGCAGTAACTTGATATTCCTCAAGAATTACATTGGTAGGTTTATTTTTAGTGGTCCTAGTAGACAAATTTTTTTTCTAGAATTAAATGAGTTGGCTTTATTCTCATACTTGAAATAGTCAAGCAGTTAGTTGCTTGGCAATCTTTACGTGCATCCTTAGTTCCAACAGATGGAGGTGCAGCCCCTTTTTTTTGTCTTTTTAGAAAAGATGTTCTTAATACTAAAGCAAATTGGTTAACTAATCCCCCAGCACTACTTTCCTGAACCTCTGGAAGGCACCTGAAGGACAGAAACTATTTGGGATTTCAGGGAGTGAGCTCAAAGTTTACTGTGGAGTAGTCTTTTTTACTCACATGAGTCTTATTATAATCTCCTTTGAAGCCTCCTGAAGTAGAGTCCCTGAAGATTCCTAGAGTTGAGCTGCTTAGTCAGTTTATATACCTTGAGTTGATTTTTGTAGTCCCACCTTTCTGTAACTATTTACCTTATTCCTCCCATGTCTACTTAAGTTTCTTATTCTTTGGAGCATCTGCTCTTCATTTTTGTTTTTCCACAGGGTCCTGTCCTGTCCTGTGCCAGTCAGCCTCTTGATTGTTCTTCCCGGAAGTGCCAAGATTCTGCAGCCCTGCTGCAACTGCCTTCTCCCTAGACCTTGAGCTGCTTCGGATACCTGCCTAAACAAGCTCCAGCAGTTGTCACAACTGCCTGTCTTCCCTTCGTCTTGTGTTTTCCTTTTTTTCATCGCTCTGTTCCTTTCTTCTCATCTAATGCACAATGCATAAAGGATGGAAAAAGTACTGCGGCCAGAAGACTTTGAGTGAGGCAACAATGGATGAATATTTAGGCACTTTAGGGCTCTTTCGAAAGGTGATTGCCAAGGATGCCTCTTGCCTCTTTCGGGCTGTTTCTGAGCAGGTAAATATAAGCAAGACAAATGTATAATGTAAGTTTTCAGAGTGAGATGTGGCATGGTCCGGTACCTCAATCTGTAGACTGCTGAAAGAAATAAAAAAGAAATATTTTCTGTTTCTTAGTGAAAATATCCAGGCCTGCCTGAAAAGTACAGGCTGAAATACTGTGCTCTTTCTGATTAGAGCAAATTCTGTTCACCTGTGGCTACTTTTCTGCTTTTCATTGCCAGTTTGTAAAGGGCAAGGGGTAAAGTAATGTTGAGTTAAAGAAAACTTTGAAATGAATCTTAATCATTTAGAAGCATGTCCTACTCCATCTTTGTTTTATGCATAAGGAAAAGATTTAGAGCTTTTACCATTATGGAGTTGAGAGTCCAGGACAGAATCATGAACCCCTAATCTCACATGGCTTTTTCAACTTTGCCTAAGATCAGGTGCGGTTAACAGATGAACTTAATTTCACTGTTTCCAACATGTGCTCCAGATTAGGAAGCTAAATGTCTAATTCATAGTCTTAATTTAGAAGTGTCTATTTCATATGACAAGGCAGTGAGCTAGTCTTTTTTTTTTTTTTTTTTTTTGTAGTTGTTTTACAGCCAGATCCATCATTCACAAATCAGGAAAGTTTGTGTCTCATATATGAAGGAACATCAACAAGATTTTGAGTCTGTAAGTAGAATATATGCACCGAAGAGAGTTGTTGGTAATGCACATAGTACGTGGGTAAAGTAGTTTTAATACTGAGTACAAAAACTGAATTGTCGTTTTATTTTTTTTTCAGTAGCAACTGTTTCTCCGCTGACTTCCTAGAATTAGCAAGCTTTTGTGCCTCTTCTCCACGTTAAATTCCTTTTTCTCTCTTTTTTTGTATTTTTATTTTGTTTTGTTTTTTTCAAGACAGGGTTTCTCTGTGTAGCCTTGGCTGTCCTGGATTTGCTTTGTAGACTAGGCTGGCCTTGAACTCACAGAGTTCAAGGCAGACCTGTGTCTGCCTCCCAGCGTGCTGACATGCTCCACTATTCCCGGCCTTTAATTATTTCATTATGCTGATTAAAAACTGAGACTACCCTGTAGGTGCTGGCTTGTAATCCGACACTGAACTCTTCCTCTCTGTACTGTGGATGAGTAAGTAGAATTCAGAATATAGCCAGTCCAGTCTGAGCAATACAGGGAGACTGCCAGAACAAAAGCGATAAGTGACAATCAGTGCCTTTCTCATTTGTTCCTCTACAAAGAAAACAAAAACTCCAAAGACTGTAAAATTTATATTTTGATCACAGTTTTGTATTATTCATACTTTTCTTGATAAGTTTGACTCTACTAATATTGTGAAATGTCCAATTTTAATGTGTACTTATTCTCAGCCATTTTGAATAGTCTCGTAGACCTCAGTTGTAAGGTAATGCTAGTTGTAATTTATGACAGTTTGTGAAAATTGAAACTCTACTACTGTGGTTGACTTTAAGACAACCTTTAGAGAACATCTTTGTATACATTTAGTAGCCTAATTTTTAAGTGGAGTTTTATTAATGTCTGATTTGAAGCAAGTCCTTTCATGTGACTTTGAGTATTTGCCTTCCTGTCCTTGGGGGTTTGTTTTTAATTTCTCAACAATAAATTTTAAAATACTGTAAATGATTTAAAATCTTATTTATAGTCTTCTCCACACCTGGGAGAAATACTGCTTCTGACGTGGAAATTCAAGATCATGACCTGATGTAGCATATCTCAAGTATTTTGTGCATACACATAACCCTGGAGTTTTTGTTAAACCGTACATTCTGATGATGTGGGTTGGAGCAGAGCCTTACATTTTAAACAAATTTGTAAATTAAGGGTGTTGCTGCTAGACCATTTTGACTAACAGAAAATATATAACGCACAGAAGCTTGATCCTGATCTTCCTTCTCCCCCAGGGAAAGTTTACACTGTATTTAAACATGCCTTCTTAGAAAAAAACTAGAAAAAATATCAACCAAACTAAAAAAAAATAATCTTATTATATGGTGATAATTATAGAATATAATCAGATTTCAATAATGCTTTATATTTGGCTAATTTCAAGTTTGTTTTATTTTTGAAGTATGTGGAGGGATCTTTTGAGAAATATCTGGAACGGTTGGGAAATCCCAAGGTAAGTTCAAATATGAGAATATTCTCTTTTCATAGTTGTTTGAAATAGTAATCTAAGTGTACTCCCTAAGTCTATATTGACCCCAGACTGTGTTGAGTGAAATAATTGTTGTGAAAATGGCAATGGCCTGTTTTGTGTTGAGTATTGAAAATTGTATTTACTGTTTCTGTGGTCTGCTTAGGTAGAGTTCATATTGCTTGGGAAAAGGACAGTGCTGGGAAACACTAGTCTTTTCGCTTTAGTGGGAAAGAAGGGTAGTAATGTTGCTGAGATTTTATTTTTAAAAATTATATATATATTTTTTTAATTTTTTATTAATTACACTTTATTCATTTTGTATCCCCCCATAAGCCCTTCCCTCCTCCCCTCCCGATCCCACCCTTCCTCCCCTTTCTGCATGCATGGCACTCCCCAAGTCCACTGATAGGGGAGGTTCTCCTCTTCTTTCTGATCTTAGTCTATCAGTTCTCATCAAAAGTGGCTGCATTGTCCTCTACTGTGGCCTGGTAAGGCTGCTCCCTCCTCAGGGGGAAGTGATCAACAAGCAGGCCAATCAGATTATGTCAGAGGCAGTCCCTCTTCCTATTACTATGTAACCCACTTGGACACTGAACTGCCATGGGCTACACCTGTGCAGGGGTTCCAGGTCATCTCCACGAATAGTCCTTGGTTGGAGTATGGGTCTCTGGGAAGTTCCCTGTGTTCAAATTATCTTGTTCTGTTGCTCTCCTTGTGGAGTTCCCATCCCCTCCAGCTCTTACTATTTCCCACTTCTTACATAGAATTCCATTCACTCTGCCCATCAGTTGGCCATCAGGCTCAGCATCTGCTTTGACGGTTTATACTGCAGAAGCTTTCAGAGGCCCTCTGTGGCAGGTTTCAAGGTTGTTTCCTGTTTTCTTCTGGCTTTCAGAGGCCCTTTGTAGCAGGTTCCGAGGTTTTTTCCTATTTTCTTCTTCTTAATGTTCAATCCCCATCCTGAAAGGCAAAGAGGATGGACATCAGAAGAAAAATTATATTATTTTTAAAAATTAAAAATTTTCCTGATAGGTAGTTACCTTTCTGTTGTGTGGGAGTAAAAATCCATAATAATGTAGACATTTTTAGATGGTAATATTAATCAATTTTTACTTAAATAGACATTTACTAAATATCCTGCTAACTTTTTGAAAAATAGTAGTTATACTTTTAAAATTGTATAGTTATTACATAATGTTAAGAAGAACTTTGGGTTCATTATTTTGAGTTGTTTATATTATTAACTATCTTAATTTTCTGATATTACTGTTGAAGTTGTTAAAACTATTTAATAGTTCTGAAATGTTTTTTAAAACTCTGTGTTTATATTTAGGAGATTGCTGGCCAGCTGGAACTAAAAGCTCTTTCTCAAATATATAAGTAAGTTGTATCAAAGAGAGTGGCCAAGGGTAGAATGAAAGAGGGAATATATGATTGATACCACTGAGAATACTTTCTGTCGGAGTCCTTTTAGGAGTGGATGAATTTGATCATTGAAAAGTTAATGATCCAGAATGAAAAGGCTTACTGAAACACGTTTGATAACAGTTCTCTGGTGAAGAACTTTATTACTAGTTCTGTCTTAGATTTTTTTTTTGTCTGTTTGAAAGGAAGATTGAAAAGAAGGCAAGTGTGTTGGGACGTGGCTGTAATAATAGAACTGAACAGGGAAGCCGGGGAAGACAACCTTGAGTTCAAGACCTCCTTGGGGTATACAAGATTGTTTCTCTAGAGAAATTAAGAAAGTGAAATTACTGAACTTACAGTGTTTCTTGTAGGAAATCAGGATAACTATCCTTTAAAGCTTCTTAAATACTTAACATATTTTTTATATGTTTTCCATTTAGGGCAGTGTCATTTCTAATGTAAAAGTGGAGCAAAAATTTTTACACATCTCAGTAGTTGAATGATCCTTCAAATGGTCACATTTTGTTTTGATATTAAAACTTCATGGGGAAATGAAAGGCTGCTTATGTGCCGTATAGTTATAGCTATCATATATATATATATGTATATATGTTATAGCTATCATATATATATATATATATATATATACTAAATCTCTTCCCACCTACCTTTGCTTTCTACCTGGGTAGGCGAGATTTCATTCTTTATCAGTCTCCTGGAAAGCCTCCAACTCAAGTCACGGATAATGGCTTTGAAGAAAAGGTAAGAAAATGAATCTTGACTAAAAGTTGAATGATGCTGCTGGCTCACCACAATATTTAGAAATAATCCTTTTGACTAATTAGTGAAACAGTAAAGCTTGTCTTGAAGCCAAGTGCAGTACTGTTATGCTACTGAGACACCTAATAAACATTGTCTAACTGGTATTATTTTATGTGCAACCTTTTCCTCTAGACTGTCATCCTCATTGGAATTAGGTGCCTTTTTAACTAGATTGTTCTCGTCACCGTTTAATAAGAAAAAACACATAAAACTCTTAATTGGCTCCTCATTGACTAGAAGATAAGGGTGAAATCTGAAGTTAGGTGCTCATTCTTCTTCCTGCTAGTTCAGCTTTCCTTTGGTCCATTGTTTTGCCCCTCAATTTTCAATTCCTTGAAACCCATTCCCAACTTCCTGAAGCTGAAGCTCTTTTCTCTTTTATACCCTGTTTTTTTCCTAAGTCATGATAATTAGTTTTATCACCTCATATTTATATTTTGATCTATTTCTCTCAGTCTGGAAGTTTATTGAGGGTTTTACTGTTTAGTAAAGTGCTTAGAAAATAGTACAAGGTACATGTATTTGAAAAGTCTCTGCAGGTAAATCAAATCAATTTTTCCCCCAAAAAGGACTATTCCAAAAGGTTTTATCTCAAGCACTCAATTAGTGAGTGTGGGACTATGCAATATATGAGTTTTGCAAGTCTTGCTTCACCTCATGGAACAAAGTTCTCATAGCAGTTTATTATGACAAGACCAGGATCAACATAGGAGAACTTTTAAAATGCTGTTATAGTACTTTACGCAGAAGATCTAAACTGAAGAAGTGGTATTAAGATTAGAGAGAACTAATGGGAGGAGATGCCTTAGAAGATAAATATAAATGGGGTCACTATTTTATCAGTGGCTACCATCTAGTTCAGCAAAAATGGTATCTCTCCATAGCATTATAAAGTTCTTTTCTGGGCTTTGAGGATACCAGTACATGATTAATCACCTCTTTTTCTTGTAGGAGCTTTATTGAGTATGAAGACAATCATGGAAATAGTTAATTAGGATTAAAGATTTATAGTTTGGAAAAGGGAAGGAGAAGGAAGATCCTCCCTGCTTTAGGCAAATTAGAATGGTGCTGGTGCCAGTGACTAATTAAAAAACTAAGTTCATCAAGTATAAAGGAAGGGTAGTCTCTTCAGGGGAAACCTTATATGTAAAATCCAGGAAACAAGGGGCCTTTGGGGGATTTAATTAGTTGAATGTGGAAATGCCGTGCAGAAATACACTAGGATTGTATAATGAGGGGTAGAATAAGCCATGTTGAAAATTTGGCTTTTCATCATATGGAATACTTACCTGAAGTTTTTTTTTCTGATGTTTTGAAAATTTTCAAACATACAAATAATATAATGTTGTAGATAGCATCCATGTGCCTGCTCCCACTTAAGAGTCACCTAACATGTTGGTTATCTATTCATTGTATATACACATCCTCTATACACTGACCAATCCATTTAAAAAAAATCTCTGTGTAATAGCCTGGCTGTCCTGGACTCCCTTTGTAGATCAAGTTGTAGCTTTCACAGATACCTGTCTGCCTTTGCCTCCCTGAGTGCTGGGATTAAAGGTGTGCACTACTGCACTTGACTTTAAAATCTTGTTTAAAGTAAATTTTGGACATTAGTGCAATTATCTCTTAATACTAGTTTTAAAAGGTTTAAGCAAGAGTGTGACAGAATCCAAATCATTTGAAGAAAAAGCATGTTCTCATTTATATTTGAGCAGTTGAAATCTTCAAATTTCAACTGGATATTTAGATTGTTGCCCAGGGATTTTTAAACCTTCTCATACTTGATTTTGAAGTTTTTCTTAGAGAATAGTTCATAAGATAATGTGAATATCTGTATACACAATATGTAGTAGATCCCATAGTTGTCCTGTTCTTTTTTTAAAAGTCTTAAATCATTTTGCAGATAATTGAGATAGTTAATGGGAATTGTCATAAAAATACAGAATCATAAAAATACAGAAAATATTAAATTATTTGAGTATGTACAACCCATAGTAGTGTTTATGAGGCATAAGCATAGTGCTAGTATATAGTTAAGAGAATGATGTAGTATCTAGTTTCCATTGTTCTACTACAATGATTTTTAATATTTTTCCTCAGTGCAGATACTTTTTAATTATACAACATTAGGAGCTGGCTTAACTGTTTTATTTTATACATATGGGTGTTTTGCTGAGTGTCTCTGTGTACCATATGTATGCTTGGGGTCTGAGGAGACCAGAAGAAGGTACCGGATTCCCTGGAACTAGAGTTATGTGGGTGTGGAGAATTGAGCCTGGGTCCTCTGGAAGAGCATCTCTAGTGTTCTTCACCACTGAACCATTTCTCTAGCTCCTTAAACTCACAAAGTGTACAAATAATCAAAATGATTGATGATAAGAGATATCATTGTCCATGGAAAAAGCAGTATACTATGTAAACAAATGTTTGTTAAACAAAAATAACTTTGAGGTCTACCCCAAAGCCTACCAAATTAGCATAAATAAATGAAACTAATAAAACTTTGCTGATTGAACTCTAAAGAATTAGTCTGTGCATTGAAGTTATTTGTTACTATCCAAAATTTTATTATGGCATTTTCATATGTATGTGTCATGGTCCCCTGCTACCTTCTTTCTTCTATCCCCACTGTGCTAGTGTCTTTCCCCACGCAGAGTCTCGTGCTTTCATACCAGATGAATTTTAGCCCTTTTCCCCACTCCACTCCTTTGAGATTTTGTTCTTCCTGCTCAAGGTCACCTAGTTTCGTGACACACACATATATAAATTGAAATCTAGATTTCTGCCTATAGACGTAAATGCATTTTTCCTTCTGAGTCTTGCTTATTATGCCTAAAATAGCAGTCTTCAGTTACATACATTTTCCTGGAAATGCCATGATTTTATTATGGCTGGATGAAACACTGTTGTATATGTGTGTATCCTTTATTGTACCTATTGGTAGATGTTTTGGTTGGGTCAGTCTCCTCACTCTTGTGTGTCATGTAGCAGTAAACATGGCTGTACTAATATCTCTGTAATAGAAGTACTTAGAATCCTTTGGCTGTACACCTAGGAGTGATACAGCTGATTTATATAGTCAATCCAGTTTTAGTTTTTTGAGGAACCTCCGCACTGATTTCCATAGTATTTGTACTAGTTTATATTCCCACTGGTAGTAAATCTATGGGGGTTTTTCTTTTCTGCATATTTTTGACAGTGTATTTTGTTGTGTGCTTTTTAAGTTTTTTTTTTAAATTTTATCATGTGTATGTGTTTTATATGCATGTGTTCATTTGTGTTTGTAGCTACAGTTTCAGTGTACTTGTGGTAGCCAAAAGTTGATCTTAGGAGTCTTCCTGTTTCCACTCTATATTTTAAAAAGCTTAAAATCTTTTTAATTGGATAATATGTGTGTTTATGGGTGTGTGTCTGTGTGGCTTAATGACACAAGAGCACCGGTGCCTGTAGAAGCCAGTGGTGTTAGATCCCCTGGAGCAGCTGGAGTTGTACATGTGTGTAAGTGGCTTGATGCTGGTGCCAGGAACTGAACTCGGGTCCTTTGCAACAGTGATAAATGTTCATTACCACTGAGCCCCATCTTTAGCCTATTCTCTCTCTCTTTTCTCTTTCTTTCCCTTTCTCTTTCTCTCTCTCTGTCTCTCTGTCTCTCTTTCTCTCTCTCTCTCTCTCTCTTCTCTCTCTCTCTCTCTCTCTTCTCTCACTGAACCTGAAGCTTTTCAGCCAGAGACTCACCACTGGGCTTCGGGAACCCATTTGTCTGTGTCCCCTGCTAATTGGGTTTAGAGCCTGTGCTGTTGGGCAGGTTTTTATATAAACATTTGGCAATCTGAACTTAGGTCCCCTTGTAAGCCTAAGAAACACTGTACTTATGGAGTTATCTCTTCATCTCTTTTTTGTTTTCTTGATGATATCCATTCTGATTGAGGTGAGATGGAGCCTCAAACACATTTTAATTTGTATGTATTTGATAGCTATAGATGTTAAAGATATTAAAATATTTTATTAGCCATCTGTGTTTCTTGTTGAGAGCTATCTATTCAGTTCCCATTTATTGATGGGAGTTTTCCATCTTCATGTAGTTTATATATTAATCCTCTTGATAGGTGTTTGATGGCAGGTTTTTTTTTTATCTTCATGTAGTTTATATACTAATCCTCTGATAGGTAGTTTGCAGTATTTTTCCCATTTTATAGCATGTCTCCACTCTTGTGATTGTTCACTCAGCTTTGTGGAAGGTTTTTGTTGTTGGTTGGTTTTTCAAGACAGGATTTCTCTGTGTAGCTCTGGCTGTCCTGGAACTCATTCAGTAAACCAGGCTGGCCTCAAACTCAGATCCCTCTGCCTCTGCTTCCTTCCAGTATTCTGAAATTAAAGAAATGTGCTACTAAATTATCGAGAATTACTTCCTGTGTTCTTAAGAGGTCTTTTTTTTGTTTTTCTCAGAAAGTCTTTGGCCTATGTCTGCCTCTTGAAATTTTCTAAATGTTCTCTGTGACTTTCAAAGATTGGTGTCTTATGTTAAGGATTCAATCTATTTTGAGTTACCTTAAAAAAACTAGATTCATTCATGTTTATGTGATTGATACATGTACTTGTCTAGTTTCCCTTCAGCACTGTTTATGAGGCTATCTTTTCCAGCATGTATTTTTTAACACCTTTCAAAAAATTGGTAGCTGTAGCTTTGTGGATTTATTTCTGTTTCTTCTGTTCCATCAAAGTTCTTGTCTGTCTTTGTGGCAGTACCAAACAATTGGTTTAGTTATGGCCCGCTATTCTATTTTGAGACCAGAAATTGTAGTGAATCAACACCTTGTTTTTCTTTTTTCCTGTGTGTGTGTGTGTGTGTGTGTGTGTGTGTGTGTGTGTGTGTGTGT